CTGGAGGGTAATAAGGCAATAAGAGCGAGCCCACATGGATTTGACAAAAACAGTTTGTGTCAAACCAATCTAATTTCCTCTTCTTGGCAGGATAAGTGGTCTAGAGGATAGGGAAAAGTGGCAGATGTGCTATTTCTTGGCACTATGAAGGATTATGACGTAGTCCCATAGGGCAGTCTTGTGCTAGGGAAATACCACCTGCAGAAAATGTCTGTGGTGGTGAAGCAACCCTGAAAACATTCCTTGGGCAGCAGATGTAGGTGCTTCACAGCCCCCATAAGAGGCTTTGTCAAAAAGGGCTGTGTCTTGTGCTGCACACTAGCCAATGTTTTCATGCATACCTTTCAGATTAGGACAGAATAAAATTAGCACAACATATTCTGGCAATATGGGCAGTTTTCCTGGCAAGTGAAATAAACCTGATGCTTGCTGATTGGAAATTGAGTTGATTTGTGCTTGTGTCATCCCCAAAAGAGGCAATTATCAACCCAGACCTTGCACTGACCTTCTACAGGTACCAGAATACCCCTCCTTGTCCCGCAGCATTCTGACTTCCTCCCTGCAGCCGTCACTTCAGGGTGCCTCTGCTTTTTGCCATGCCCTGGGCTTCCATTTCAGCAGCATCGCCACTCAGGAGGCATCTCACATCTAACTCCAGGCTGAGTATTCACCTATCTCAGAAAAAAAAAAAAAAAAAAGTAATGAAATAAAACACAAAGCACAATCAGGTTTGTATCGAGCTACAAGAGAAACATCTATTTTTTTTTTTTCCTCCTGTTGTTGTTCACTCACAATGAATGGAGGAGTTTATCACCATAAGGGACAGCTGGGTGGCAATACTCTCCAGCTGGCCCATCCCTGTGACAGTACTGCTTTCGCTCTTAGCATTCTCCTTCAAATTTCCTTCCTGCACTCTTAATGTGTTCCCTAGAGAAAGAGGTCTGGGAAGGAGCTGGAGGAGCGGGCTGTGTGCCCCTGCCCAACACAAGGCAAAGAGCTGCTCCTGACACTATTTTCCCTGACCTCCAGTGATGGGGGTCCCTCAGCCCACATGTCCCACATCTCCTGGGAGCACCTCTGATTCTGAAGTACTCTAGAGGGTGGGTTTGGAACAAGGCGTTATCTTGATGAACCAGAGACACAATCCAAAATAAATGCAATCCAGTTCTGTAGAGGCAAACGCAAACAGCTTGGTTTGGGATTGAGGCAGGTGAGGTTACCCTTATCAGGAAAGCTGCTCTGAGAATTCCCATCCTTCTCCCCACCTCCTGTCTACTCGTTCTGCCTTAGCAGAAGCGTGCAGTGATCGTCTGTTTGTGGGGCTGCATTACCAAGCAGCTCCCTGAGCCAACACTCAGAATAAAAATACCTCTCCTTATCCTTTATAGCTAACCTGGCTCGCTTCTATGCTCAGTTCACTGCACAGCCCCACAGCCAGCTCTATCAGCATACAGTGTGGGGGAAGCGCAGCAGGGAGGAACAAATGAGCTGCCTGAATGAAGCAGAAACTTCATTGCTGAAGTCATGTTGCATGCACGTACATTTTGAGTAAGGAGAAATCGGATGTGTATGGAGAACAGCACGTTAGAAAAGCTAACATGAAGCTTAGAGCCTATGAGAAACTTGCTTTGAGTCAGTGGTGTGATGCTGTTGCGAAAATACAGCTGAACAACAGCAGCAACCTAATTTGATTTTGGAATGCAGCAACAAGAGGCATACACCAATGGGAGGTAGGAGGTCACTGGTGGAGTGCTGGGGCTTTTCTTGGCAGTGCATTTTAATAATCGTGCTAGTAGAAAGAGAGGTCCTGTACTTGAAATGGGAGAAATAGGTGCATTTTCCCTTCTAGAAAAGAGGGGAATTGAGGGAAGCATAGTCCCCTATAGAGGAAAAACAGCTATGAAGAGCAACAGCAACTTGCTCTCTGTCTTGCATAGGGTGAACGAGAAAAAAAAATGAACAGCTGATTTTGCATCAAAAAGATTTCAGAAAGATAATCAGAAAAAAAAGCAACACAAAACACTGCCCATCAAGAGAGGGAAGAACAGATCAGGCTGGGGACAGCTATACTGGGACAACGGCAGGAGGAAACCCTATTAAGGCATCTCTTAAGGGCTGATCCTTGGCTCTGCTTCAGTTCAAGTGGTAGATTAAATGATCTCCTGAGGCTCCTTTCAGTCTTGCATCCTATGAGCAACGCTTTTTTTTTTTAGCATCACAAAAAGTTGTTGCCAAAAAAAAAAAAAAAAAAAAGGAAGCAAAAAAATGCTTCAGCAATGACAATGCATCTACAAGCAAGGCGACCTGATCCTGAACTCTGCTTGAAAGTGAACTTACAAAAGATAGAGTGAGAATGGAGAAGGCTGAAGGAGCAGCTAACATAATGATTAGGGACTTGGAAAACAGCAACAAGGTTTTCACGCTGTGGTTTAAAAGGAGATGAAATCTGGGGAAGATCACATTAAGCAAACTGGAGGACAATTGGGGGTACTCAGAAGCTTGACTCCCGCATGTCCAGAATTCTACTTTATTGACACACATCAGATTGAAGACTAATGAGGAAAGCTGGGCAGAAGCCAGGACCGGTTTTCCGTTTGTTTTATTGTAATTGGTTTCTGCAACAGATAATTAACTGTGGAACTCACTCCTGTAAGACACGTCAGAGACTGAGAACTTGTCAAGGAAAGATAGAAAGGGAGAAGTGCTAATATGAATGTGAGCTGGGATGTGTATTTCGGAGGAATAAATGGCTCCTGCTCACAGATGAACTCAGCTATTAAGCCCCATGGACAGGAAAGATAAGCAGCATGCTACTGAGCACTTGCTCAGGATGGACATCTATCCCACGTGGTGCTGCTCAATGTATCAGTGAGAAAACATCACCAGGAAGATCTATGTCTGCTGAGCTGCAGTTGCATCCTCAGAGCAGGAAGAAACTCCTACAGGCTGCACATTGGCACTGGAATATCTGGGTGCAGAAAAGATCTTCAGATGTTAGCTGTAGGGGAACGCATTGATTTGCAAAGTTGCACGGAAAAAAAAAGAAAAAAAAAAGACATGATTGCTTAATATTTAAGCACACTGCCTACAATAAACAGCTCTTCGTGCAAAAAAAGAGCCCCCACCTGCTTCCTAGCTTGGCTTTATTGCCGTGAAATGGAAGCAGAGTTCAGCTCCACCATGATGGGTCTTTTATGAACCGGCGGTTAGAATTTGATGATAATAAGTCGCCGTGTGATGGCAAAGAAGCTTCTCAATTGAATAAATATGTATCTTAAAATTGCATCCAGCGAAACCAGTGGGCAGGAAAAACAGTCAGATCCAACACCTTTATTTCCAATACATTTATTTTATTTCTGTTTTAGGCCTTCTTGCCCCTCTAGCAAAGGTTGTAAATTATTTAACTGCTGCAGCTCAGACTTCTCTTTTTTACTGTCTAATAAACTCTGAGAAACATAAATCTATTTTAGGTCCTTTTTAAAAATAATTGAGAGTGGTGACAACCAAAACAGGAATTGCAGCAACAATTCAAGGCAGGGCATCAGTTTGTTGTGAACACACCAGGAGATTTCAGCAGAAAGCTTATAGAGGAGGCATTTTGCTTATTTCTGGCCATAGATGCTTCTCTCCCTTTTTAAATTTAATAATTTATGGATTTGATGCTTGTTTTGTGTCTCTTGGTTGCATGCTTCCTATTAAACACATAATTCAGGTGGTTACGTGATGATATGCTGGGCTGTTTGCACTTCAGCCAAATGATGTGGAAAGAGGCAGCAATAACTTTGTGGGAATGCGTTGGGACGTGGAATTCTAAAGGTGGGATCAGGTCACCACCTAATTTCATCAGTCCTCTTTCACCCCCTAGATCTTAAAGAAGCTGCATTTTCTCAGATGCGGGTCAGCAACTGTTTGTCACTTGGAATTGTTAGCATGTATGTTTAGCTATTGCAGAAATAAAAGGAAGAAATGAGGGCAAGGAAAGCATGGATAGAGGTGTTCCAGAACCATGTGGATGTGGCACTGAGGGACAGAGTCAGTGGGCATGGTGGGGAGGGGCTGGGGTTGGACTTGGGGATCTCCATGCTCTTTCCAACATTAATGATTGTAAATTCAATGATCGTTTCTAGCTGAGCAATAACAATTCCCATACATAGCCCTACCAGGTCTCCTGCACTTCCATATCCCTTCTGCAGGGGAGGGCGGTGAATTCAGAGGGCTCAGAGGGCCCTTATCCCACCTTTCCCACCATCTTGCACAAATTCAACTGGAAGGAAGGCAAAAGGATTTA